GCGGGGGGGGGGGGGGGGACCGCCCCCCCCCCCCGGGTGTTGCCAGAGGAAGGGGCCCCGGGAGCTGCTCGGGCCCCGCCCCCTCGGAGCCCGGGTGCTTGCACACTGCAGCAGGACCTGTTTGGCCAGTGGCTCTTCAGGTCCAAGATGTTTTTGGGGGGTCAGGGGTCGGGTTGTTGGTCTCTGAGGTGGTCCCTGGCACGCTGGGTTGATCTGTGGCTTCCAAAAGCAGCCCCAGGTTTCCACCTCTTGGTGTGGAGGCGTCTCAACCACAAAGCCTCCAAGAGGCAGAGGCGGCTGGCTTTCTCCTGAGCAGCCTCTCTGGCCAAGTCTGGAGAAAGCCCTTTGAATCCAAGCCTGCATGGTTTCCCTGGCCTCTGAAAAAATGTGAGCTAAGCTGGGGACCCCAAAAGGACATTTTTGTACGTCCCGCTCTAAAAGTTACTCATGTTCAAAGCAACACGTCTTCATTTCTTTGTCTTCCTTTTTTTTTTTTTGTATAGAAAGCTGTGACATTGAGTGCAGTATTAGTTTAAAATCTCTTGCATTTCAGATCGCCTTTATTTTGCAATTCTCTGCCAAAAACCAAAGAGTGGTGCTGCAAACACACACCATTTCTGCATAGATGACGAATTTGTATACGAGAAGTAAGTATAGTCTTCTTCTTCCTGCCTTCTACAGAATATGCCATGCCTTCATCAGGAAAACCCCAATGAGCAAGGGTTTAGGAGTTTTAATTGACTGTAGGGAGCTTACCCTTTCAAAGCTAGTGCATTACAGTCACCTAATTTTACTTAGAATAGGAGCAGGTTATCTCTGAAGAGGGTCTTCTGGCGCTCTACCCATTTCTTTGCTAAAAAATTCCTAACATTTTCTATTTTTAATTATAGAGTGCCTTCCTGTTGGAAGATGATACAGGACCATGTTTTATTATAAGACAGTCCCTGGAATATTGAGCTAGAGCAGGGGTCAGCACCCCCCAGCACACATGCCAAGCATGGCACACAAGGCCATTTTGCTCGGCCCACCACTGCCAGCCCAGGCTTTAAGCAGCTGCTGCCAGCCACAGAGCCCAAGCTGCTCCCACCAGGCAGCTGGGAGGCTGCAAGCCCTGCTGCAAGTAGACCAGGCTCCATGGGCCTGCACTCCAGCACCTTCCAAGGGAGAAAAAAAACATTGCCTACCCCTGAGCTACAGGGATGTATTTAGTGGTCCAAAATATCTAGGAGAGAATATCTCAACTTCCTAGAACGGTAGTTCAAAAGTTAACAAAGGTGACTTCTCCCTTTAAAAGTTGGAGGTCAAAAAGTTTTGCACATTGAATTGCAAATGAGATGATGAAAGTCACTTATGCTGTACATGGATGGTAACGAATAAGCATGTCCTTAGTTAAAACTTTCTGTTTAGCTTCTACCAGTTGTACTATATGGTGTCGGGTTTATACATGTAACAGGGGCTCTAGATGCTTCGGTTTGTTTTGAGCACTTTGGAGATTAGTCCTGTGGAACTCTTTTAATGCCCGTTTGACAGTTTATTGCTAGCAAAAACATTTCAGAATATATTCATGACCTTGTTTTAAAGACCTGCTTTTGTGTTGTCATTAAAATCAAGAGTTCCTGATGTGATGCCCAAAAATACTATTTTACTGTAAACTTCCAAACCCTGAAAATGTCCTTATTTTGTCAAATTTTTAGATCTTGTGTGTAGAAGAAAACAAAATCAAAGTTCTATAAGAATAAAAACTATAAAGTTGTGTTTTCTCCAGTGAATTAGTGCATACTTCCACTGTACTCAAGAAAGGAATTTCGGTGTTTTTGTACCTATTTGTACTTAATATTAGTCTTCATTTGATGAATATGGGTTTTTAAACACATTTCTATACTGCATATACAAGCAAAATCTTTTCTTTTTTTTCCTTCCCCAACAAGCTTCTATGCAGATTTTGGACCACTCAATCTGGCTATGGTTTACAGATATTGTTCCAAGCTAAATAAGAAATTAAAGGTAAAAAACACTTTTTTTCTTTTTTTTAGTTTTCATTTCAGTTGTACCAAATAGAAATCAGCTTGTGTGGTCATATCTATAAATTACTCAGAAAAGATATATATTTATTTGAAGTGTATGATGGATATTTAGGTTCTTGGTGGGATTTGTCATAGATTAATATAGTGTACAGTTCTGTTCTGGAGTTTGGATAGTGGAAGTGAGGGAAAGAATTGTTTGCTCGAAAGACAGTATACTATCAAAACAGTTAACTTTTAAATATTGTTACTGCTAGGTTTCTAGTAAGAAACTTTCTTGTGGTTAAAGTCTTTAAGGAGAGGGTCCCCTTTTCTGGAATTTGGTCTCTTTGGCAATCTGTCATTTTCTAGTGAACTTCAGGGTACAGTGAAACACGCTTCTATTTAGGCAAAAGGCAGAACAGGGTAGCACCTTAGACTGAACCAGTTAGACTCTGAGGTGCTACACTATCCTGACTTCTGCTTGACTTGAGACTAAGGCAACTGACCTTTTCTTTCTTCTTCTATTTAGTTTTTGTTACATTGTTTGCTGTTTGTGTATGTTGATTTTGACACCATCTCCTGTAGGAACCTGTGTTTTGCTCTTTAAAATATATATTTTAGGCCCTGGTCCTGAAAGGGAAATGAGTACTTTTAATGCTAGGAGATGAGGTTATTTGTTTTCTGGCAGGCAGTCCTCAGTACTTTTTCAGGATTTAAAAGTACCCGGTTCTGAATGGATTAGCAACTAGTTGCTGTGCCAGTATCTCCATAAATCAAAACAACTAAGTTAAAAATGTCCTATATCAATTTAAAAGGAAGTAGTTGAATTTGGTCAAATTTTAACAGGGGTTGGTGTACAAAATTTGTTAGCCAAATTAAAGAGTTTGTTAAAATACATACTCGTAATTATTGCTTGCCTGTTCATAGCAATTGAATTATGAAAAGTTAGGAAGTAGGCAACACAGTAATAGCAAGATGCAGAGATTTCTCTGTTTTAAAGAAAGTTACGTGCCGGCTGGAATCAAGTTACCTGCTTTGGATACATTTGTAATGCTTGTGGCACAATGAACAGATTTGCTCATGTATGAAAATTTATACTTATTTTGCCTGAAGATCACTTTACAGAAGAAGTCTGTGTTCAGAAAAAAAAAAAATGAATAAATTGTATTGAGAGAGGTTGGCAGCCTTAAAGGAACGGTAGGCCAAATAAAGCAGCTAGGGCTGAAGGTACAGTGAAACACATCAGGCTGCAACCAGATTGCCCTTGCTGTCACTTCTCCTGCAGCTGCTCCAAGCTGCCTGCTGCTGCCCAGCTTTGTGCTGAGGGCTGCTCTCTAGTGCTTTTCCCCTCACTGCTGATTCCCGTAGTCACTAACTGCCACCAGTGATGAATTCAGCAGAGAGAGAAGCAGCAACTGCTGTAAGAAGGCAAGAGAGACAGAGAGGAAAAGGGAGGCCTGGGGCAGCAGCAGATGATGTTGCAGCAAAACAGTTCAGGCGTAGGGGTTTGCTCCCTGCATTCCTATCTCAATTCCTCTAGGACCTTGGCAGCTAGATAGAAGAAGATGGGGAAGTGCAGTTGGGATACAGTTGACTGCAAGCTGGAGAAGGTGAGAGAGAGAAGGCCTTTACTTAAAGGATCCTTTTCAGACCTCCCATTCCTTTGGTTAGCCTACGTTGCACTGAGGTTGGGAGCTGCCTGCTGCAGCTGTCAGCATCCTACACTCTGAAGTAGTGGGGAAATAGGGTTTGCAGAAGGATACAAATGAAGGAGCCAGATCTGCTTGTGACAGCTCAAAGTTTCAACATCTGTCATGGCAACATAGCTCAGGTCAAAGTGGAAACTGCCAGGAGCTGCTTTGTAAGAAAATTATATTAATGTGGTCTATTTTCAGGGCTTCTGAAAATGAGTTGACAACACAGGACAGAAATAGAACATTTTAAGCCATGAAAACATTTGGCAGTGCACAGGGCTGGGGTTAGGAGATCAAATTTAACTACAGTGGAAACTATATTTGAATAGTTGATTACATTTACATTTCTGTTTTAAATTAAGTGCATCTTTCAAATGGTTAAATATGTTGTAACACTTAAAATGACTGAAGAAAATACCAAAAAAAATCTAACAACCTTCTATTTATTCATCCTAAAACCATTCATATTGGTAGAGGAATATATAGGGTTCTTTTTAATATTCACTTGGCATAACATGGTGAGTGTTACTGGCTTATCAATACGGTAGATATTATATTGGTACTATGCTACACTTAAAGATGTGATCCTGCAAGAATACTGAGTACTACTTATGATTGCATATGAAATAATGTACTTGGTTATGTCTTGGTCAGAAAAGCAGAGATTGAAATGTAATTCTGAAAACCTCAGTTTTGAGGAGGCCATTTGTTTTGGCTGTTTTTTCTCTTTTTCATTGATTTTAAAAATTGTATCAGGCCATGTAGATTTTAAATCCAGTGTGCCAAATTATAATACTGTTGTTCATTTCTTGATACAGTCATTTACATTGATAAGGAAGAAAATAATTCATTATACTGGCTTTGATCAGAAAAAGCAAGCAAATGCTGCATTCCTCATAGGCTCTTACGCAGTAAGTATTTAACATTTTACTATAAAGTAACTTGTTTCTTGTCATTCTTCTACATGCAATTCTTAAAGTACCGAGTGATACCTTCCCTCTTAGTGTGGTGGGAAAGGTTCTGAAGGTAAGAATATGGCTTCTTGCTATGGCTTTTCGCATGAAAATTATCCTAACTCTTTCC